CAGTCATTTAGGAAGTGATTAGATCATGAGCATGGAGCCCTCATGAATAGGATTAGTGGCTTTATAAGAGAGGGCTGAGGGATTTCGTTCATCCCTTCTGCTATATGAGAACACAACTAGAAGGTGCCCTGTGTGAAGAAGAAAGTGAACCTGCATCAGATGCTGAATTTGCAGGCATCTTAAACTGACTTCTTAGCCTCCAAAACTATGAGCAATACATTTCTGTTGTTTGTAGGTTGCCCATTTTAAGGCATTTTGTTACAGTGCCTGAACAGACTAAAACCATGAAGCTGTTGCAACATTTTGAATATATTTAATACTGTTGAGCTGTACTCTTAAAAATGTCTGAGATGGTAAGTTTTATATGGATTATGCCACAATTTTAAAAATTGGGGACAAAAGCAAATGAATTAAACATTACAATTTAGAGACAGAGATTTTTTTCAGACTGAATAAAAGTGAATTAAGTGCATAGTGTTTACAAAAAACACCCCTTGAACATACTGATAGACTGAAAATTAATGTAAAATTGGCATGTACTGGTGTGGTTATATTGATAAGAGACAGACGGACATGCTAGACCTAACTCATTACCAAAGAAGAAGATGTATCCCTTGTGCTGATTGAAGGGTAAAAAAAAATCCTAGATGTAGTGCCCCTTAAAACTGAGCTCCAGCATACAGGAAGCAAACTGACAAAAATGAAAGGGTAAAGATACAAATTCGTAGTCGTAGTTGGGGATATTGACAGTCCTCGATCAGTAATTGATGAAACACATCAGAAAACAATCAGTAAGCATGTAGAAGATTTAAATGACACTGAACTAAGTTGATCTGATTGTCATTTAAAGAACACTGTATCTGACTGCTGTGGATTGAATTGTGTCTCCCATACCCTCCAAGTTAGTATGTAGAAGCCATGACCCCTGATGTGACTATGTTTGGATGCGGGGCTTCCAAGGAAGTACTAAAGGGTAAAGAAGGTCATAGGAGTGAGGCCCTACTCCTGGAAGCCTGTTGTGCTTGTCAGAAAAGGAGAGATCAAGGTTCATTGACTCTCTGAGATGCATGGAGGAAGGACCAGGTGAGCACACAGAGAAGACAGCCATCTGCAGGCTCAGGAAGGGGCCTCATGACAGCCTGACCATACAGATACCATGATGTCAGTCTTCAAACCTCCAGAGCTGTGAGAAGATAAATTTCAGTTGTTAGCTCCAGCAGACTAAGACACAGGCATCTGCAGAATTGACATTTTCCCCAAAATGTACATAAAATACTCCCCCAAGAAGGGTTATAAAATGTATCTCAAAAATTGAGTGACTGCGGTCAGAGTATGTTCTGATCAAAATGGGAATCAACAATCAATGGCCATAAAATCCTCAGATATTTGTAGATTAACATAAATAGAAGAAATCATGAGAAAAATTAGAAAAACTTTAAATAGATTATGAGCATCCCTTCCCACCTACTGGTCTGATCTCTTTCTGCTCCCATCTGCTACTTACCCACCCCATTTCTGTGTGCACAGCGTCTGCCCAACTCCCCCTCTGACTCCATGCCAGTGGTTGGTCCCTTTATCTGGGCTGGACTCCTCAATTCCTCTAAGTCAGCTCAAATCAAATCGTCTGCTCATAGTCTCTTCTACCTACTTACAAATATCTCTCTTCCGCCACATCATCTGGCTGCCACAGGATTTTGCACATGATAGGCACATCACATGTGTTTTCATAAGAACTGATGTCACCAGTGGGTGGCCTAGGCATGGGCGTTACTGTGTTGGGAGTACTGAGACTTGCAGCCTCAGGATGGTGCATCAAGCAGAGGAAACGAGCATCTTAAGAAAGGGCATCCTCATCCTTGAGAGAGAGACCACCTCAGTCTTCTGCTCTACTCACGTCTTTAATGAAGTTTTGTTTAATAGTGCTCATAATGGAATTTCACACCTCAACAATTCTCCCCTTCAAACCACCAAAGTCAAGTGTCGGTCGCTTCCTCATGCACTTTATAAATATACATTGAGTGGTCCACTCCTTGCCACGTGTTATTGCCAGCATTTGAGGAGATGGAAAACGGTCCTGGGATAGGCATAGACTTGTCCTTGCATCCCTTCCCACTCACAGGAGAGGCAGATGGTGACATTGTCCAGCCATGCTGCATGCTTTGTAACAGGCATAGTTGGCCTTCTCAGGACTTCTACAAACAAGCGCTGACTTGTGCTGTTCCGAAAGGCGAGTTAGAAGTGGCAGGAACTAACCTGCTAGCACTTTCTAACCTAGGAAGCCATGAGGGTGAAGACAAAGGGGTTAGAAAAGATCAAAAGAGACTGGTTGGCTCTAGCAAGAGAGGGGGTAACACAGGGCTGTACTTAGGCATCCTGTTTCTAGGATTAAGAGATGTTCATTACAAGGTTTGGGGCAAACACATAGTAGATTGAAATGATCACTCAGAGTACAGTATGAAAACTCTTAATTAGGCTGTAGCATTTCTATAACCCCTGTGTTTTCATGTGAATAAACAATTCTTTTGGCAATAGGAGTACAGAGTAGTAGTCAAACTTTGTAGCCATTTCCTTTTTCATCTGAGAAGGGAATTTCATGCAGAGACCCAATGGTTTTTCCTAGGCTCCTCAGATATTTGGGTAAGCACTCTGTGAGCCCTTGGAGCTACCATTCCTTTTGCTACACATTTCTACCTACTTCAGTCCTATGCCTTACGACTGGACTGTGCTAATCACTAATTGCCAGATAGTAAAACCACAGATTTGCTGAATTGTTAAGTGCTGCTTTTGGTTTTCTGTGCTGATCTTTTGGGAGGTGAGTCTATATAGCTTCAATTGAGACTTAAATAGAATTTATCTAGAGTCTGGAGGCATAGCTCAGTGGTAGAGCTCTTGCCCAGCATGCGTGAGGCCCTGGGTTCCATCCCCACTACAGAAATTTAATAAAATTCATTTGTTCATTAAGCAGTGCCTGATATACTTTTATATCTGTGAGAAATGACCTTTAGTATATGTAACATTTTAATCATACAACTGGATTTTAAAGTGAATTTCCTTTTCTGATTAATGTAGCTTGCAATTTCAAAAGCCCTTTATCTTTGTTTCTGAATAAGCTTTAGTTGGAATGGATAACTTTGTCTTTTTGCTGATTCTTTTTATAAGTATTTGATGGTTTTTAAAGACTTATGCCAGGAATATGGACACATACCTGTAATCCCTCCCACAGAAGCAGGAGGATCATCTCAAAAAACCAAGGGCTGAAAATGTAGCTCAGTGGTACAGTGCTTGTCTACTGCAGAGCCCCAGGTTCAATCACCAGCACTGCAAGAAAAGACTTATGTGCATTAGGGAACTCTATTTAAGGAATACTGTCTTGGCATTATTCAGCTGTGTAAACATTTTCTCTGACTTATAATCCTTAATATATATATCTTGAATTGCAAACTTTGAACCTTAGAGCTTTTGAAATTGGGAAACCTCTATTTGAACTCACTGTGCTTCCGGGTCCTCTGCTCTGTTAGTGCCTGGAGCTACAGAGTTTCTGTCACTGGGTTGTCCACAAGTGTACAAGATAGAAGACGGGGTCCCAATCACACACATTTTTTTCTGAGATTCTACCTGAAGCCATTATGACACAATTTGTGAATGAGGATGAAGTTGAGAGAACATTGATTTTTTTCCCAACTGAAACTTGAAGGAGATTATTTAGTCACTGCATCCAACTTGAACATATCCAGTAACAGTCCAGTGCACCTTCAGAGTATGCACACTGTTACTAACCCAAACTCTTCCTTTCTTCATGTCCTGCCTCTATTTTTTCAGGGTAAAGATGCTGAGTGGTAACAGTAGCCATGATCACAATAAGGAATTAAATGGCAGAAGTACGGAGTCAGAATGTTTTAAAAATCTGGAACCATTGCTTGTTTACTCGAGTTCATTTTGAGTGGTGGCAGTTTTTCCATCTAGCTTTGTGTGTAGCACATTGCAGCCCAAAGAGAAGACAGCCAGTTGAAAATGCCCCTTTATGTGCTGCTGTCTGCCTCGTAGATGGATTTGTCCTTGTACAGGTGTAGGTTGGTGGGAGTTCAGACATAAAAGGAACAATTGTGCATCCATCCAAGTGTCGAGGAAAAAATCTTCCATGTTTTGTGCTTTCCTGGGACTATTTGGAAAAGATTCCCAAGAAGGGTAGAGAAAACCACATTGCAGTCAGAGAGTCTGCCCTACTTGCTTTCTTTGATGTAGATCATATGGACAGCAGGGAGGTGGCAAACCCTGAAGATAATAGGAAAGAGGGAAGTTGGTATGTTATGTCCCTGTCTAAGGAACAGCAGCTGTGATGGTGACACAGATTCTCACCAGAGTGGAAATTCCTCCCCAGGCTGCTGAGCTGCACTGTGTAAGAACCCAGTGTTTGGTTCCCTCATACAGCAGGTGCACTGTGGCATCTTTTCTTTTACCTAATCTGGTGGTTGAATAGGACTAGGTACTCTAATCTTCAAGGTTAAAAACTTTCAGACTTTCCCTCACATCACAATCAGAAACTTGAAACCATTTAAATGGAGTAGTAAATGGATTTAACCAATAAAACTTAGACTTTTCACCTCCCCTCAAAAAGAAACGAAACTGGAAACAAGCGCCATAAAACCACACTGTTCAGTAATACCATTGGCCGTGTGGATTTCAAAATTCTCAGGTCTGCATGTCCACAGTTAGTTATCCGTCACCCTCTTCTGTCGTTCTTCAGATACGTTGACATCTTTAATTTTTTTTAACCATTAGTGGCACAATGATTAATTTTAACAATTTCCATATCTGACATTGTTTTTGATCTTTTTTGCTTTGTTTCCTGCTTTCCGCATTCCCTCCCACCCCTCCCTCTTCTCATCCCATTTTTAATTGTTGGGTTGTGTTGTTTTTGTGTCTGTGTGTTGTTCATTTATGGTTTCTGTTGGTCTGGTGTTCTCTCCTTTCTTCTTATTCCCACCCTCTTGCTGCTATAGCCCCACAGGCTGTGGACACTGGCCGAGCAGGTAGGGTACTTTTCTGTTTGTCACACCAGTGCCTCTGTACCTATTTAGCTCCCACCTGCCACTTCCAGCAGTGGGACAGACTGGGAGTTGAGTAAAGAGATTGACCAAGGGTCTATAGACCCCATGGCCAGAGGTGCTGGCTACCCAGCGTGATGTCACTGTTCAGGTCTTGTCACATGTTTCACATGTGTGACAGATGCTTTTTTTCCATTGGATGTGATCAATGTGGTCCTTGCCAGTTCAGGATCATCTCCATTTTCTGTCATTTTCCACTATTCATGACCTGTTTTCTTATTTGCTTTTTTTTTTAAGTTTTTTTTTAATTGACCACCTATGGTTATGTGTTTTGCATTACTCAGAACATCAAACCTGTTCTTCACTCAATGCTAGTCTGCAACACTGCTTCACTGAGTAGCCATACGTTAGAAAGAACCTTCTTTGCATTGTACTGTCACCGTATGCATCACCTAAGGTTGATTTGTTTGTGCTGATCTTTGTGGTAAGATACCAATGATCAGGATTACTGAGTGGCATAGCATGTTTTTATGAAGTTGTCTTTATTTTTATTCTTACACTTAAACATGCCTTTAGTGCCAAGGTGAGATTCTCACCTAAAGAATGTTAGTGTAGTACTTTAAATAAATTCTGAAGGGCTTCCCCCCTCTTTTGGGTGGAACAGGTTTGTTACAGGTTCCATATTTTTCCAACCAAGGTATCGTGTTCTTCACAAGAAATATAAGTAAAATGTTGGTCTAGCAGGGTCGCCTCAGTAATACTGCTCATATGTGGGCAGAGATAGGCTGGTTGGAAGTCAACCCAGCATATTTTTGAAGGAATTTATGGTGCCATGATCAGATTTATGGACTGTTGTGTTATGTAAGGTCAGAGACCTCAGACCACAAAGTTCTTCTGAATTGAGTCAGATAAACACGCAGCCTCACTCACCAATGTCGTGGACAAAAATAGCCTCCGGAGGCTGGAGAGTCAAGGCACATGTAGAACTAAAAGAACAAAATCATTCTCTCTCAGATCTTCTCCTCGAGCAGGCATTGCATGTCGCGTGGCTGCTTCAGTATCCAGAGCTCTAAAAATACACCTTTCTAGATGCATGCAGTAAGAATTTCTCAGCAAGGGATGCTTCCTGTCCTTGACAACCTGCTCTTGCCACCCAATCTTTTTCTGTTTCAGCCTTTTATTTGGCATGTCTCTTTCTCATTCATATACATATGACTGGTAGGCTGGGTGGAAGTCCACTGTTAGCCTCACAAGTTGTACCTGTGGAACTTTAGGTTTTCAAAATGGAAGTTAACAGGTAACTTGGGAGGTATGTGTGTGTTTTTTCCCCAGACTATTTTTTTTTTAACTAAACAAATGCTTGCCAGCTAGTAGAGAACACAGACCCCACTTTTCTTCTATGCAAATCTGGCTTAACCACAGTGTCATTGGTTGCAGGGGACATCAGGACCTGACCCAACCACCGTCTATGTTGACATGAGAGCCCTGAGACACGACAGGTATGGTACGCTGGTGGGTTCTCTTTTCATTGTTTCCTTCCCTCTCATTGGTTGTCCAGCACACAGGTTCCCATGCAGGAAAAGGAAGAGCAGCAGCATGCCAGTATCTTGTGAACAAAATGGCAGGATTGGGCAAGTTGGCACTTGACCAATCACGTGACCAGAGTTGCTTGGCCTGCCAGGGTAACCAGAGGGAGGCATTTGGTTTTTTTTCCCTAGCCATTTTGGTCAGGTGCCATTCTACAGTTCATAAAATATCAATATTCTCCCTGCATGTCTTTACAAGAATTGAAACTTTTTGTAAAGAGTTGCCAGAACAGATAACATAGAAGCCAAGTTTCCTTTTCTGGGCAGCTTCCTAAGCAACCCCTTAGCCAGACAGAAAATGGTGTTATTAGCAAGTGTTTATAAGGACTTCTCACAGAAGGAGGGGACAAACAAGACAAAATTACCTTTTAAAGGAGACCTATTAAAAAGCCCAAGAGAGAAGAAAGGATTTTTCTGTTTTTACCCAGATGCTCCCCATTGAAACTGGTTGTGTCATGTCTGGCGGTGGTGCAGATATCCAGGCACTGTGTATGTGATGTGGGGACCTTGACATACAACTACATCTTCCATAGTTGTTTGCAGGTTCTCAATGGACGTGTTGCGTATGCACGTTACCCCATTTTCTTATGCACTCACCACCAGCACTGTGGGTATGCCATAGTATGGTCTGTGGACAGAGCCAGAGCAGTTGTGTGGTCAGGAGGTGGGCGACAGGACCCAGCTCTGGCTGCCTGAGTGGGCAGCTGGAGCAGGCTGTTGAGGGACAGGAAGTACTGGCTCCTGTGCTGGTGAAGCAGTTGGGGCAGGTTGTACAGGTTGAGAAGAGGCCTGGAATCTGGCCTGGCAGGCCTGGGCAGTCACCACTCCCTCAACCATCAGGAGTTCTCAGCAGGTTGCATGTGCCCCCATCTGGCCACATGTGGAGGCACTTTTGATTGACAGTTTGGAGCAGTATTTCTGTCCTATAGTTGGTGGAGGCTGAGGATGCTGTCAAACATCCTTCAGTACACAGCACAAGTGACAAAATGTCAGTAGTGCCAAGGCTGAGAAACTGTGTATATGTACCAGGTCACATTTGTAGGTTACCAAGGTGGCCTCGTAGCCCTGTGTTAGACCCTCCTTTGCAAAAAAATCTACTTGTTCTGCAGTTCTAGAGTCTTAGCATATTAGAGACCATGTGGCTGAAGGCCCTCACAAGGATCAAACAAATGACCGCGCCCCAGGCTGGTGAATTGTCTCAAGTAGTAGAGCACCTGCCTATCACGTGCTAATGAGCCTAATGAGGCTCTTCATTAAACCCCAACTACCACCAAATACAAAACAACTGTCCCCAAGTTCTTTCCCCTACAATGCCCAGCTGCAGTGTAGCAGAGTTTAGTGTATAGCATTTCCAGAGTTCAGGAACTTTGTTTTAGGGAGTTTAAGTAGCTTTTTTCCAGAGACACAGTTTTCCAAATGGCAACTTCTAGGCTTTAGAGAAAATCTTCTGTCTTCCCTATAAAAATTATTTGGAAAACAATGTTATAATTGAATAACTTTCTCAAGTTGTGAATAGTAGCCCATCAAACAGTACTCGTGTTAACATTTATGCAGCTCTGTGTGTGGCCTGTGCCTCATAGAGAGCAAATATTGTAATGTAATATGGATAAAAACTGATGACCTTTGGCACGTAAATCTATTCTTGTGTTAGGAGTATCTTGGTAATCAGAGAAGGTGGAAAGTTGGGATTTAAGGATCTTTTGGAAAACGGACAGAACATCTCAGGATCTACCTTATACCAATTTCTTTTAATCTATCCTTTGTCTTCCATGGGGCAAATCTGTATGGTGAGACAGGGCATGATTTGGGGTAAGTGCAAGGAAATGAGAGGCAACAGAGTACAGGGTGATAAGGTGGCAAAAAGTCAGCCTCGGGTCAGAATCATTGTGCTGCAAAGATAAGCAGGACTGTGTCCTTGGATGGGCCTCCTTCATGACTGGCTGATTCTTTGACCTTGGCCAACTCAGTAGTTTTGTCCTCCTTTGTAAAGTAGTCTGTAGTGGTACTTTTCCCTGACCAGGCTGCTTGCTCATTATAAAAAACCATCTGAAGTAGGTGTGCAAGAGCCTTGTGAGCTGGGAAGTGCTGTGCAGTCACACATCATGAACCTAACACAGGATGATGCCATTGGCCATGTGCATGTTGTAATTGACGCTCTCAGCAATCTGCATGGGCGACTCAGACACAGTGCGCCGTCCAGGCCTGGTGTCAGCAGCCTTTGGCAGCACTGCACCTCGTGCTCGCTTTTGTTCTTTGGCATGGTCACCATGAGGTCCCCCGGACTGATGCCCATAGTTCTCTCTCTGTCAGAGGAGAGCCGGGGCACCAGAGTATCTTCATGTGGCATGCCATTTCTTCCTCTTCTTCCACCATCAACTTTGAATAAACAAGCAACGTTCTGCTTAACAGCGTTACCTACGGCCTCTATCCAGTTTCTCCAGAGATGGACCTGCTCTCCCTCCTCTGCCACAGCATCTCCCCATCCTGTGGCCCCTCTCCAGGCTGAGAAATGCTTCTTCTGCCTCCCTGATCTCTCTCAACTTATTTGCACTTATTTTGAGGACCATGTGTAATTATAAGGGTCTCACTTTCTGACCTCTTTGATGGGTCTGTTGGCTACAGAGTTGCTCTTGTCCCACTCATCCAAGCAGAGTTCCTCGCTCCCCACCACGAGGTTGGACTCTTCTTCTTTCTTTGTCTCTGCCTTACCTGATGAGTACAGCACTGCCTCCTGACACCCTGCCATTCCCACACACAGCTCATCCTGCAGGGGCTGTCCCTATATCCTGCTGAAGTTCTTGTTCTGCCACACTCAGCTCAAACACCATGTCATCTTTGAAGCCCCCTACATGTTCCCAAGGCAAAAGGTTATCCTGCTTTTATTTCTCCACCCTTATCATTTATGTGTCTCAACCAGCGTTAAAGGTGTCTTATGCTTTACCTACTGTGGTGGAAAGGCATGGGATAAAACAGTGCCAGAGTCCGTATCTCCTCCCTGTCTCTGGTCCTGGGTCAAGTCACTTGTCACTGGGGCCTCAGTTTCCCTGTTTTATAATGGGCACAGTAAAACCAGTCTTTCCAGGTACCTGTAAGGACTAAGAAGAGGCACTGTGATATGCTGGGCACTGGAAGAAACTGGTACTGGGAGCTCTGGGTGGGTGATGGGGTGGTGAAGTGACTGACCACCTTGCCCACAGAGGTCTCACCTCTCCTGTCCCACAGCACCTTAGAGAGGGTGGGACACTCGGCTGGCTCAAGGTCAGCAGCTGAAAGGCAGTGAAATGGGAGGACTACTAAAAACCTTGGCCCTGCTGCTTCCTTGTGACTGTTCCTATAAAAATATATGGGGATGGAGGGTTGTCTCACTTTAGCTCTGTTAGAGTCTGCCATAAGAATTAATTACTCAATGGTACATTCACTAGGAGCATCAAGGTACCTGCCCACTTACCACTGCAGTAACCTGGGGAGGGTTAACTTGTCAGTATGCTGTGCAGTTTCCTGAAGAAAGGAGAGAGAGAGAAAACCAGAGTAAGTGAGCACAGGTAGGCACAGGAGAGACAGGTCACATGTAATTCACCATTGTGGAAGCCAGAGATCAAGTTGGTTTCTTAACCATTTCTGCTCGGTTTTATAACTTTCATTTTTATACCTGTTTTATTCTTGGAGCCCCAGCATCGGGGTTCTGGCAGTCTGCATTTGTAGCAGGTTGCCATGGAAAGTGTTTCTGCATCGTATAATGAGATTATGTATTCCCCCTGTCTCTAGACTAAATCTAGTCCCCACACATACACGAGGAAATGACAACTAAATGCGAAACAGGATGGTAGACTCATCACACATGTACTCTGCAGGCAGGGGGTTCTGTAAGGGACCTTGGGTTAGTGGACAAAACTAGAGTAGAGGCTGCATTCAATGTGATCATGCAAGAGGATATCCCTACCCTTAGAAAATACACACGAATGATGTCCGCTTACCTCAGAATGTTCAAGAAAAAGTGTGCGCTTATGTGTGTGTGCCTGCATTCGTGTGGGCATGTGCATGTTGTAAGAGGAGAGGGGAAAGAGAGTGAGTTGAAATGATGAGTGGGATAAAATCTGAGTGGCAGGTGAATTTGGATGAGAAACATCACAAATGTTCTTTTTATTGTTTCCATTCTTCCAAGTTTTCTGTAATTTTGGATTCTCAAATGGAAATTTTATAAAAGCATAATGGTCATAAATGTATCAAATCCAGAATGTTTTTTCAAGTTGGCCCATTTGAGGTAAGACCTAAAGGAGTGGTCAATATCAGAAAGTAGGGAGCTGATGGAACCCAAGGTAGGAATGCACCAGCAGTTCACTTTGCACAAATGGACTGTTCTGGGTTCTGCCTGCCCTTCTCCCCTGTGTGATGCCCATGGTTGGCAGTGAAGACTGCGTCAGCAAAGTCCATATTTGGTCCAGTCACTGGTTGTTGAAGTTAAGCACAAAGGATGCTTATCCTCCAAGTGATGAGTGACCATCAGGGCTGGACAGTGCTGACAGTGGCAAGGGCAGGTGGCAGGGGTAGGGCTCCCTTGCCTTCTCTTGACTGTCTGCATCAGGGTGCTCTAACTCCCTGTGTTCAGTGGACCTGGCTTTGCCACTCTGAAGAGATTGTAGTGGCAACAGAGCCATATCATCACTCTTCTACTGGGCATATCTGAGTTTGCATCTCAGTTATCAGCAAGTCTCCAGAGTCAGTATTTTGATGGATGCTGTCCCCAGCAGTGTGTGGGGCAGCGAGGGGCAGGGGCCTTGGGAGCAGGTGGATGTGCATGCCCTTCTTTGCACGGGCTCAGATCGGGCTCCCTCCCACTTCACTGACAATCTCCAATGGATAAAGAAAGGCTTATTGCTGTGGCTTTACACCATCCTGCAGGACTGGAGGGAAGGTTAGCCCTGGGCTCTACCCAGACAGGTAATGGAAAACCTCAGTGTCTGAGCAGTACCTTCCACCCAGCCCTGGGGACATCTGTGGTATTAGAGGAAACACGCCACAGATGGGCCTCTTGGGAGGACCAGGCTCTTCCCCACCAAGGGTGGCGCTGACAGCCCCTTAGGGCTTCACCTTACTGGACATCACTCCCAACCTGGCACCTTGCTGAGCTCCAGTCAATTTGAGAGTAGTTCCACAGAGCACAGATTGCATAATTAAAGCCAAATCTCTCGCATCTCAAATTTCCCTCTCCTTTTCTAGTGACAAACTTCAACTTCAAGTCCACATAACAGCCTGTGATGGATAAAAGCAGTTTTTCCCCAAGACCAGGATTGGTACTTAGTTGATACAGAATAAGGGACAAGACAGCAACCAGGCAGAAGCTGATACTTCCACAACTCACAGTGGAATTGCGGTCTCCATGTGGAACCCCCAAGGGCTTGACTTCAGCCTGGGGATGAGGTCAGCTGACCTCCCAGAACCAATTCAGCAACAATCCTGTTCCAGATCTGACAGGTTAAATTTGACTCCTGGATTGTTTGCAACAGACTCTGCAGTGTGACCTGAGAGTCAGGTGCCCTGTCACAAAAAATGACCTCCGTTAGATGTCAGCTCAGCACAGTAGTGGTGTGATTGCAAGCTACCATCTGCTTCATTCCATCCTGCTCAGAAACTCAGCTCGTGCTTGTCATAGATGGACAGAGTCAGCCAGGCCAGACAATGAATGCATGCTTGGCTTTCAAGTCTCTGCTTCTCTTTCCACAGAAGCCCTTCTCTGCCTCATTCTGGCTCAGGAGGCAACATGAAGCCTTTGCCACCCTCTATTAAGTCCCCTGTCACTGTTCTGGTAGCTTTAGGGTAACCTTACAAACTGGATCTAGCTGAGCAGGTTTTATTGACAACCCCTTCCTTCTATAACTCCTGGGTGAGGCCCAGTGCAGACACTTGGTGTTCACAAATCATGTGATTTCCCCAACAACCTGGTGATGCTAGCTGAGGAAGTCAGCACTGAGCACAGGTTACCCTGGGCCTTAATTCAGGGCTCACCTTACACTGTTCTGGATGCTTCTTCTGTTGACAGTGATGGCTTTTCACCTTGTTTGCATTTGTTCTGCAAGTTCTCCACATACCAAGGAAATGAGCCTTTGCCATGAGGGTTACATGTATGTCCTCATGCTTTCAGGAGATAGATCTTTTGCCCTTATTGATTTGGTTTTTTTGTTTTTTTTTTTTTTTTTTTGGTAGTACTAGGTCTTGAACTCCGAGCTTCGCACTTGCTAGCCAGGCACTTTACCACCTATGTGTGAGATACAGCCTCACATATTTCCCTTGGCTAGCCTCAAACCACTGTCCTCCTTCCTCCACCTTCCAAGTAGCTAGGATTATAGGCGTGTACCACTATACCCAGCTGGTTTGTGGATTTTTTGTTTGGGACATAGGTGAGGAACTTTTCCTATAGCCTTTGCAAACAGGACCTTTAGCTATTTTCATTCCAGCACAACCCGTTGTTCTCATACTGCCAGAAAAGGAATGTTTGACAAGATATCTTCCTGTTTTCCACCTTTCAGACACAATTATCTGCCGAGATTTCATCTCCCTTTCTTTGATGCTGAGGGTTAACACGGGGAAGGACAGGAATGAAAATAGGATCTGAAGGCAGCAGGAGGGAATGAAGGGCAGGACACTGGCCAGCATTCATGTGGCCAGGAGAGCCTCAGCTTCTCTGTTTCCCTCCCCTCCCCATAGAGGCTGGGCAAGGCCACAGCAGAAACCCAAAGGACCAGGAGGAAATTCTGTGACTACTGCATACCTGGGACTTTGATTCTCGGGGTACAAGGGTACCTGCCTGTTTTTTCATCTCAAGTAGCCCTGTCTCTTGAGTGACACTGGTATGAAGTCATCTAGTAATGATAGCTGGCAGAGCTGCTGCTTGCTTCCATCCCCATGCCTGGCAGGGGGTTCTGAGGGCCTGAAATAGAGGTGCCACAGCCAAAGGGAAATGGTGTTCAAGCTGTAAAAAGCCCTGGCCCAGCAAGAGCAACTGGAGATGCCAGCGCATGTTCACTGCACTGGCCACCAGGCCCCACCTGCCCCTCTGTGGCTTAGTGGCACCTGAAGGACTGTCCACGTGATACTGTATTCCATACTGCTCTGCAGGGCCAGAGGCTAAAGTGCAAGGCGCAGGTGCCCGCTCACAGGTGCCCATACCTGGGCCTATTGCCTTCTCAGAGCTCAGCAGAGGATCTGGTACTTGGACTCCATGGCATTCTGGGTTTTCTTTTTGGTCCATCCTCTCTCTGCAGTCTCTCCTTTCCCTGCAGCTGTACCTGTCAGTTGGAGAGGAAGATGACTGTGCTCAGTGCATAGGGATGGGTCATTCATGCACAAGATATCTCTGGGGGAGCATGAGGATGAGGATGGAGTGAGGGAACAGGAGAGAGAGGCAAGGCCTCTTGGGACCTAACATTGCCCTGAGCCCCACACCTCCTGCTCACAGCTGTCCCTTTCCCGATGCAAGGCAGACCTGCCCCATGTTATGTAGTCCTCAAGCACTTGAGCCTGCTGTCCTATTTTCTTTAAGTAAAGATCTCCTGGTAGATGAACAAAATGCATCATAGTCCTCTAGTCACCTGCTGGAAATGGAAAGTCAATAGTGAAGACCACAAACCATGAAGAACAGTGGCACAGAGAACATCTGAGCTCACTCTGCTTGTGGTCAACAGCAGTGTCCTGGGTGGTTTTTAAGACTAAGTGTTTTAAACTAAACTGGTTTCTCCACTGGAAAGAGGTTTTGCTGTCTGTTCACTTGGCTTGGATACCTTTCTTTAGTGAGTAGATTCTGGGCTGCTGTACACTTCGGGCTCTGCCTTCCCCAGTGTGTTAGCCTACATCCAGGCAGAGAACTACAGGAGTGAATGGGTCCTTCAAGGGTGTCATTCAGTCTGCCTTCTTGCCCTTCCTGTTACTTCCAGGTTGACACTGGGTACTAAGTGCACAGTCATCTTCCCAATCATTTTGAGGTGTGGCAAATGTGACTTCATCACCTTCTCTGTGGCCTTTATTGCTATGTTCTCACAACTCTGGTATTTCTACCATGGCCTTGGGTGATGCTCAGAATTAACATGCCATAACAGCCTGCTGGGCCCATGCCTGTGTGCTCAAGGTAACAGAAGGAGGCAGGGGTGCAGAAATGTGTATATTCAGGGTGTTCATTGATGTGTCTGTTTCCTTTTGCAGAGTTCGGTTGGTAGAAAGAGGATCGCCTCATAGTCTCCCTCTGATGGAGTCAGGAAAAGTAAGTGTCACAGAAGGGCACCTCATCTGTGTGAGTCAGAGCATATGGACTGTGCAACTTCAAGAAGTGCGTTTTATACAGGTCTTGTTACCCACCACACCCCCAAAAAAGCTTTCTTGGAGGTAGTGTATCAGGATTGGTTGGCCATGAGTACAGAAACTCAAAATAACAATGTTTTAAATGAGTTGGATTTTTTTAATGTAAAATCTGGGAAATAGGTATCTGTTACTTCGTGAATTCACAAGATGCTCTGACTCTGTGTGGTTCCCAAGGGCACCTCAGGGCCTCATATTGCCACTCCAGCTCCAACCATCATTTCCACCTTCCGGCAAGTGGGAGGAGAAACAGAAAAAGAGGATGAGACAAAACTTAAAGCCATAAGGAAAGTTCTCAAGCTGTCTGTAAATACCATTCAGAACTTAGCCACTTGTTGACACCTGGTTAAAAGGAATGTTGTAAACTATTATGTTGATTCTGAATAGCTAATGGTGTACCTAAAATCTAGGCTATGCTGCTGTGGAAGCCAGTGAGGATTGGTTATCAGGGAGTAACTAATAGCTTCTGCCAAATTAGTTATGTTTTTCATAGAGTAAGCCAGCGAGGATATATTTAAACCTAAATGAAGCCCCCCACCTCCAACCTCACCTCTTGGCCCCAAATGTCAGATTCCTTTTCCACTTACAGTTCTAAGAGCATCTTACATATATTGGACCCTTCAGAAGGTCTTCATGATTGCAAGCTAGATTTCTCACAGTAGCAAAGTGCTCACCACCATGCTGACTCCATCCGGCAGCCTGTTAGCTACAGAGACCAGAACAGCCAGCCTTCAGGCACAGCCAAACTGTGCCAGAGGATTGTGTATTGTTGTCACAGAATGCCTTGCCTTCTCTCAGCTCTATAACATTAAATTAGCTGATCTGAAGTGGGCTATATTCAAGACTTCAAGAATGGACTTTTGAGTCCTTGGGTATGCTGTATTGGTGGAATTTGGAGCATTGCTAAGCTGAGTGTCCAGTGAGGCACTTAAAGTCAAGGTCCATTATGATAAATGGTGTTCACTCACAGGAAGGGAGTCCCCAGTGGCTTAGTAGAAAGCACAGTGAAGATAGGAATGTTAGTTAAACATATTCCAGTAAGAGCCAGCAGCCTGGGCTAGGAGGCAACTTAGCCTTTCATTTGACCACCACAAAGGCAGCCCTCTACTGAGTCATTTTGCCAAAATCATTTGGTCCATGCACACTTCTGAACACTTCTCCCTGTACTCCCTGAGCTCAGGACAGCCATAGGCAACACCCTTCCTTCCTGTGTGCTATGTTGCATTTCATATCAGTATTCATGGGATAACTGAAAATCCCTATTTTGCAAGTGTCAGATGGTGTTAAATGTTACATCACTTATGGTAGGGTTTTTTTTTTTTTTCAAAATTTCATTTTAAATGATGTTCATCAGATTTTTTTTTTCAGCTTTGAGATGTGAATGACAATGAGAATCTTTATTCCAAGTTCCCTTTAGCCCAGGATATGTCACTGTTGTATGATGACAGTGAGAATGCACTTTTGTAATGGTACACACTTCAGACTTAATACCATCTACTTTCTAAGTGATCTTTCAGAAGGAAATGGGCATTTGACATAAAACAAGCTTGCAGTCAGTGTGTATCTGATACCCACCTGTCTTTCTAGCCATTGTTAAGAGTTGTCTCCTCTCCCAAACAGATTCTTCCTGGGGTTCGGATCATCATTGCCAATCCAGAAACAAAAGGACCACTGGGGGATTCACACCTTGGTGAGGTGAGTCACAGGGTGTCCTTGGTAAGATATGCCCTTCCAGACCAAGCCCCTGACCTCACGGTTCTGTATCCTTTTCTCCATGACACATGACCTTACTGCAGCCCACACTGTTTCCATCAGGGTAGTCGTGCCAGGCTGGGAGGTAGCTGCAGGTAAGCTTTATCACCTTAACAGTCCCCTGAAAGTTCAGAATTACAAAGTGACCTTTCCTTAAGGAAGTACAGTAGGTTCTCTTCAGAGAATTCAGAAAGGTCAGAAAGTTAAATGTATGTGGACTGTGTTTCCTTATTTCTCAGCTCCTATACTTCTTTCCTTGTGTTAGCCTCATTTCTGAGAAGTCCTTCATCAGGAAAATGACAGAGAAATCTGCAGAGGGAGCAATGCCACCCCTAGAGTTATGTCAGCAATCACCAGTGGTTGACAGAATAGAAAAATGGCTGTTATGTGTTTGTTTCTGATTGCAAAGCCAACCAAGGCGCTTTTTACCTTCACTTCTTGTTTGTGTTGGAGCCCAGCCCTGCTCAGTCCTCACCTGCCCAATGCTTTGCCCACAAGCTGCTAGCTGGCTGTGGCTGGAGAGAAACACCTCACCATGCTGCCAGCCTCTGTCCAAGGTCCTGGCCACTGACCTCAGATTGGACCTGGTACTGCTGGACCATGCTGGAGCACACCACCGAGAGGCCATGTATCACACCTTGTCCTTTCTCTCCATTCTGTCCACTGATGAGCCTGCTGCTTCTACTCAGGAACTAAAGGGTGCCAGGAGAGGACCTGGCCTGAGTTCCAGCCTCCCTGTGTGGTGCCACACATTTTTCTTCCCTCCTTTTACCCCACCTAAGGCCACAGGTGCCACCTGCCCCAGGAGGAGGCCCTTACTGCCCTGCTGAGGACATCTTTGCTGCACTTATACCTGCATCTTTCCCCAGCCATGTCCCCAGCACTAGGACTGTAGCAATACACCCAGGAACACTCTTCCATGTGGCGCGAGGGTAGACATGTGCCTCACAAGTGAGCCCTAACCATTGCTCACTTCCCAGGTCCTTTTCTTTTTGGACTACATATTGATCTTTGCTCGAATCTCATAATCATATGCAAATATCAGAACTGAGTGGATAAAGTACAGTTCTTACTTAGTGGTTTCCTTTAAATGCATTTGAGAGATGAAACTGTAGATAGAGCCCCCTTTCTCAGGGCACCTAGAGAGGGGCCCCAAGGGGCTACCCTGCTGGCTGGTGGCCTCCGTGTTGGCCTGAGCACTGCATGCTGGGCCCAAAATATGGCTGCAGACAAAGCTGTCTCCACTCTGATGGTGACCAGGGCTGGTGACATCAGTAAGTTGATTTCCTTATTGGAAAGGCATCTCTTTTACTCCAGCTTGACTGAACTATTTTGACAAATAAAGTACACAGATTAAGGTATACAGTGGAATGTCTGATGCTTTGATATACTATGATTTGTGAAGTGATTGCCACAGTCAAATTAAACATACCCATTGCCTCAGATTTAACCACCTTTTTGTGTACGTGGTGAGAACCTTTAAGCTCTGTTAGCAAGTTTTAAGTAAACAACGATCACCAGAAGTTATGTACATCACAGCCAAAAGCCAATTATTGTCTTCAGCCAACATTGTCCCATTTTTCCCCCTGCCCTCAGCCACCAGTAACAGCTGTTTGACACTCTGATTCTGTGAGCTCAGTGAGATCAAGCAGTGCTTGTCGTTCTCTGACTTACTCTATGTCAGGCTCATCCATGCTGTTACAAATGGCAGGATTTCCTTCTTTTTAAAGGCTGAATAGGATTCCACTCTCTTTACCAGAAATTTTTTTGTATTAAGGAGAGAAAACAGTGAGTATTACTCCCAGTCAATGATAGGCCTTATTTCTCTGTTTTTACTTTTTCTCGTATGTTCAGCAGGTATTTATTGAGTGCTTGCTCTTTGCCAGGCACTAGAGATAGAGTGGTAAACAGGACAGAGTTTCTGACTTCAAGTGTAAATAAAATAATAAAAACAGTCAGTCCCTGACTGTCTTTGCTTTAACTTCTTCCTGCCCTCCCCCGGAGTCTGAAAGACCCTGACTCAGGTCCTGTTGTACACACAAAGCTGCGTGAGTGACATTGGAATTTCATTGGCCCAACTGTTTCTTCTGTCTTTCCCGTGGTTCTACATGGTCTACACGGACCTCACTTTCAGTCAGTATGTGGGTCTTTCTTAACCATTCCCCTAATTGCCAGTCAAGCAGTTCTACTCCCTGTCATTCCATTCACAGATCTGGGTCCACAGCGCCCACAACGCCAGTGGTTATTTTACCATTTATGGAGATGAATCCCTCCAGTCGGATCACTTCAACTCTCGGTTGAGTTTTGGTGACACCCAGACCATCTGGGCCCGAACAGGCTACTTGGGTTTCCTGCGGAGAACTGAACTCACGGATGCAAATGGAGGTGAGTCCTAGCTGATGTACACTGTGCACTGAACAGAGGTCAGGTTTGTTCAACTCTGAAGGAAATCTGAGGTCTGAAGGAACCAGAACAGGCAATGCATGCACTTGCTTTAACCCACCTAGAAACAGCTGAGCTTGAAAGGGAGGAAGGTGCAATACAGAAGCTGATGTGCCCTGTACCCAGTCCTCCTGGGAACTGAGAGCAGGTATAAAGTCAGAGAGGAGCCCATTGCTAAGCCCAGGCCCCAGCACTTCCCATGACAGAGCACCCCTGACTCTTTAAGCCAACACCAAGGGCAGTCTACTGCCACCCGTGCCCATCTGAGACCAGCTGGCAAGCTGCTTCAGGGATATGCGTGCTGCCCCTGGCAGGGCCACGTCTGCCCTTTTCCTGAAGGGGACACTCCCAAGGCTCTCTGCCCTGATGGACAGCTCTGTCTGTACTCCCAGAGCTCAGGGCCTGGCCCAGTGAACAATTGCTACTGGATGCTTGTGCCCCTCTATGGAGAGCCAGGCTGAGAGAGCCAGAACAGAAGGGCTCTTTAAAGTAGACACATGAAGTCAAGATGTGAAAGTGTGCCCCTTGTCTAGCATGCATGAGGCCTGGGCATGGTATCATCCCCAGCATGATAAAAAAGAAACAAAAACAAAACCCACAACCACATGCTTGTGTATTCCCTTCTTTGCTGAGTCAAGCCCTTTCTCACCTACTCAGTTCTGCTAAAAATAGAGATGGGACATTTCACCAGGACTATTGCAGATTCTTGGTGAGATTCTGCCTGACCAAAACCCTGGGCAGATGAGTTTCTAGGCATTGCAGATCTTCCTCATTTCACCTGTCTACCCTTCTACACTAACCCAGCCTGGCAGGGGCTCATTTAGTGGAACGAACGAGAATATTCTGGCATAACACTTGCATTGTGGGCATCACAGACTGGTTTATTTGAGCATGGAGTTCCTGTGAAGAGCTGCGTTCAACAATTTATACCACAAAAGGAAGGCCAGGATGGTCCCATTCTGCTCGGCCCCAGGTAGCAGGGACAGCAGAACATGGTAGCTGTCTTCACCTCTCTGGTTCCTGAAAGGCAATGTGGATCTGCTGCTCTGGGGGAGGAGATGAGATCTGTAGTGAGCAGAAGCCAACAAGTAAATGTCTCCATCTTTCTTTGCTCATCTGGCTTGGATTAGAAAAGATTTATGTTCTGGTGTTATTCTATAGGCCAGTCATTTCATTCATGTTTACCCTGATATACTTACCACCCAATTAAAAGTGAAGGGTGTATTTCCTTATATTTAAGGAAAGACCTGATTACCTTTTCATTGCCCTTGTCCCAAGGCTTGCATGAAGGATAGAAGTAAAATTGCAGCAGGTGTGATATGACATGCTGCAGTCCCAGCTACACAGGAGGCATAAGTGGGAGGATCATGGTCAGAGGTCCTCAAGCAAAAAGGTATAAGAGTGTAAGACTCCATCCGAAAAATAACTGAAGCCAAAAGGGCTGGGGATGTGGCTTAAGTGGTAGAACTCCTGCCAGCAAGTGAGAGGCCGAGTTCAAACCCCAGTATCACCAAGAAAAGAAGAAAAGAGTAAATTTTGTGGCTACCTGGGCAGAGGAAATCTTCATTCTTGAAAATCTTCTGTCATGCTTCTCCTCCTACTTTACACATGGGATTGATGCAGTGAAGGGCTCATTAAAGTAGACAGAACTGAGTGGATTTTGGCTGTGCTGTGTCCTGTGTCTCTTTGAGGACTGGTGAATGGGTGCCAACCCACACAGCTTGGGCTGTGAAGGGCTACCTGGAGCTAACTCAGTCCCTTGGCCACTACCGTGAAGATGTGACCATGTATCTGACAGTGTGCGGAAGGTGGATTCTGGAGTAGACTGACTTCTCCCCACTGGACACGTTTTAGAGACGAGACAGGACAGGATCAGAGACAGGGAACATGGCTGTTGCACGTCCAGCCTGTGGGGAAACAGACATCCTGGGAGCACCTGAGCCCACTGCAGCCTCCACAAAGCTTCCCTGGTGGAAGGGAAGCAGCTATCCCTGCATTAGCAGTCTCTTCTTTGCATCTCTGTGTCAGGCTGGGGGCTGATTTAATCTTTCAAAACACCAGGCAGATCACTTAATGAGCACTGGGTAAAGCTCACACAGCAGTTTCCTCCCCACAGAGCGTCATGATGCCCTCTATGTGGTGGGGGCCCTGGATGAAGCCATGGAGCTACGAGGAATGAGGTACCACCCGATAGACATCGAGACCTCAGTCATCAGAGCCCATAAAAGTGTCACAGAATGGTAAGTAAGGACCGGGCATGTGTGCACCTGAGTTAGCAGGCTTTGTGCAGCATTGGGACGTGAGGTTTGCATGAGGCAGAGCTTTGGGCGGGACTGAGTGTCTAATTAGGATAAGCCTCCATCTTCACCGTTGATATCAATAAAAGAGGAATCCTTCCCAGGTGTGATGTGCATGCCTGGAATCCCAGCACTGGGGAGGTTGAAGCAGGAGGGCTGCCAAGCTGAGGATAGCCTGGACTACACAGGGAGATCCCCTATTTCCAAAAAAAAAGGCAATCCTCACATGGTTAAGGCATCCCACATTCCTCAAAAGTAACAGACTTTTCTTGTCATGAAAACATCTTCATAATGTTCTCCAGGAAGCCAGGTGTGGCTTTTTATTTTATTTATGAAAACATGATGGCGGGGCGGAGAAATAGGTTTTGCATGTGCATAGAGGCAGAAAATCTTTCATTCTGTCAAGTTGGGAACTGTGCCCATGGGAAAACTGCAGTGGGAGGAGGGGCCAGGCTTCCCTGGGGACATTCACAAAGGAAGATTAAACCAAGGCCCAAGCTATGAGGTTGGCACACTCCCTACTAGGGAGTGCCCTGGGTGAGGCTCAGGTGAGGATGAGGCTGTTGTCAAGTGCTAAGTTTGTTCCTGATGTTTCTAGGGAAGCAGATGCTTCTTGACTCCCAGCCACATGCTCCTGGCTTCCCAGTGTTCATGAGTGGCCTGGGAGCTGGAGCATTCTGTTAGGCCATGCTAATGGCGCTCAGCATTAGCTGAGTGAAAAGCCATAAGGCCTTTAGTCACAGGTTCGTTCACTCAACTGATAGAAGAATGAGTGCTTGCATATCAGGCACCTCAACCCATTCCTTCTCTGGCAAAGAGCCTGATGAAACAAATCTCAATCTCAGACCAGAAACCATCAGGGAAGCACACGCTGGAATCACTGGTTAGCAGTGTTTCTTTGCTTTGGTTCTGAGATCATTCTTCTTTATTAGTTAAGGGGCTTGCAGCAGGAGGCTTAAGTTTATTACCATTTACTGAATCAGAACCTTGAGTTCTTGGCACAGTGTATAAGATACAGTTCGCATACCCATGAATCGTCCTGTGGCTCCCATTGCCAGCATCACTGCTCCCAAACAAAACACCTCTACCTGCAGTGTAGAGAGAAGACAGAAGTGAACAACAGAAACCCAAGCAAGACAACAGCCTAGAAATGGCACAGGACCTACCTATTTTCCATCTAAGTAATTGTGAATATCAGTTGCAGCATTCCATTTTGTATTTTTAAGAAAAGAGTTTTAATTGGCTTTTGTCATCTCCTTCAGCATTTTCTAGGTAGTTTCCAGCATAATGTTGTGCTGAAGAGCCTCCCTGACCCTCTTCTCTGGGTTTCTGGCTTATGGCTTGTGTTTAAGCAGTGCTGACATTAACTGTTGTGATGACCTGAGTTTGTCCCTCACCTGGGCAGAGCTGGGTCTCCACTCACCTGTTCACATGGAGGGCCAGGATGAAGGAAGAGGGAATGAATGGGTTTTATTCATATGTTGGAAGCTTCAGGCACATACTGCTCTGTCCTTCCTACCAGCACTCCTCCTGTCCCTCTTCCAGCCTTCCCTGCATGTCTCTCCCAAGCACACCCTGTTGGTTGCCTCACACTGAGAAATCCCACATCATCAATTGGGACCATTTTCCTTGTTGCCAAATTCAAGCCAACCAAATCTGTTCATCTCCAATCGCTGGGATTGCAGTGTTAAAACAATGCAGCCCCTGGGGAAGTTCCGATGGGAAGATGATGTACAGCCCCCACCCTGTGGCTTCCTTGCAAACCCAGGGCAACAACAAAGTGTTCAGTTCACCCTGACCTACTCTGTCAAATGTGGATGGCAGAGTCAATTCCTGGCAGTTGGGACTATGCCATGAATTTTAAATCTTGCAGTAAAATTAGACCCAAAGTGCCTGGGAGATATATATCATCCCTGCTGTCACCAACTCACAGTATGGGCTCACCAGGGCCAAGTAGAGCAATAGTTCAGTGTTAGAGGAGCCAAATTACAGGAATTAAACAGCAGTATGTCTTGGAGATCTTTCTCCTCGGGATTACTCCCTTAGAGATGTTAATGGTCACATTGTGAAACCTAGGAGAGAGCTGTTGAAATCATTCTGCATTTTTACCCTTTTTTTAGCACTCATAGTGTCCATACTGAAATAAAATATGTACTTTTGTCTAGTAGTCTTGGTCTCATGCTTACAGAAAACAGTAGAGACGTTCTCAAAATGCATCTTGCCTCAAGCTGGAGTAGGAACTGTTGATCAAGCAAGTGATGACAGATACCAGCAGCTCTGAAGTCTGATCCCCTTCTCTAGGTGACTCCCTCCACCTGAGAACCTTCTGGAGCCTTATCCTATTCTCCCCATGGCCCCTTCCACCTCATGTTCTACCTGTGGCCCACTCTACCCAAGAACCTTCTGGCCCCTGTAGCAAAGCAGACCTTGTGTACCAGGATCTGTGAATTTCAGGCTCCTTCAGGCTCCTTAACCAGGTCTAAGAATCAACATTCCAGGGTTAATGTAGATTAAAATGTAAACACTAGGTTTACCACCAGTTGGGTCCCCTGTTGTCCCTCCTGCCACAGCATTAGATACCACAAAGAACACTCCCCAACCCATGTGTGTTAGCTCTTGCTGCATTGTCACCACTTCCACACTTACTACTCAAAGACAGAATAGTTTATCATGCCCATGTGTCTACAGGTGACCAACCAGGTCATCTTAGGGATGCTGTTTAGCTGGACAAGGGCCAGTTGCTCTGTTCTACATCTTCCACAGAAGATGTTCTGAGATCAATTCAGGCACATCCCTATCCTGGGGCTATGGCACAGGCACATCAGGATGATCCCAAACACCACAGGGCTTCAGGAGCCTCTGCTGGCATCACCCTGCTAACATGGGCTGACCAGATTCCATAACTGAATCTGGGAAATGGATGCACCACCCTTTGGGGCACAGAGTGCACATTCAGGGATGGGTGGGCTGATGGTGCCTTCATGTGTGCACCCTGCAGAAACAGGGCTGGGAATTGGAAGCAAAGGCACAGGACTGCTTTGAGGGTAGATGCCACTGGGGGGATTGCTCCTGCAGGGGGCATTGAAGAGGCAGAACTGGAGCACAGACTCCTCTAAGGAGGACCAAAGGAGCCCTGCACTAGAAGCAGGAGCCCACAAAGCTCGAGAAATGCTCGCAGAAACCACTGCCAGAGAAGTCAGTAGAAAATGCTAGCAGGTGTGTTGTTGCCAGGATTTGGAGCACTTGGTGAGAAACAGGGGATGAACTTGGAGGGATGAGCAGCCCCCAGAGATTGTCAGGATCACTCATGCAGAGCTGAAGTGAACCAAACAGAAGCTTTTGGGAAAGAAAACATCACCAAATAAAAGACTCCCAAATAATGGTTTTCTTTACTGTCTTCTAGTGCTGTGTTTACCTGGACAAATTTGTTGGTGGTTGTGGTTGAGCTCGACGGGTCAGAACAGGAAGCCTTGGACCTGGTTCCGTTGGTGACCAATGTGGTCCTGGAGGAGCACTACCTGATTGTGGGGGTGGTGGTCGTGGTGGACATTGGAGTCATTCCCATCAACTCCCGGGGGGAGAAGCAGCGGATGCACTTGCGAGACGGGTTCCTGGCAGACCAGCTCGATCCCATCTATGTGGCCTACAACATGTAGTGTCATCTCTGGCTTCCACGGACTTTTCTAGGAATGTGAACATTTTCTCAGTGTCCACCGAAATGTGCAGACACACGGGCCACACTCGCCAGCACAGAGCCTGGTGCGGCGGGCTGGGGGGGAGGAGGACTTCTCGGAGCAGTCACCCTGGCATGGAGATGGAATGTGAATTTACTGCTGAATTTTGCTCAGAAGGACTTTGGATTACTGCCTTCAGTTCGTTGGAAAAGCTCATTTCAAAAACTTTCTTTTCCTTCTTTTCTTTTATTTTTTTTAATTATCAGATAAGTGCTCTCTTCGTAAATGTGGTATTTTGTTAAGCCGAAATAGCAATTAAAAAAAATTCTGCCCTCCAGATGGGTTCTTTTAAACAATTTATGTAGTGTGACAAAGAATTGTTTTCTCTGTTTTAATGTGTCACAGGATCTTAATGACATTGATCTGTTACTAACTTAAGCCATTGCTAGATCTCACCCTTCTAGGAGAGTTTGTTGAGGTACCAGCACCCTTCCAGGTAGCAATTAGATTTTAGCAGCTTTCTTTGTCAGAAATGTGCTGAAGAAACAGAGGCTCACTTATGGCCTTTGAAGTTAGCATAGAGCGAGAAGCAATTATAAATAAGGTGTATTTCGGCAACTATCTTGCAAATATCTTTGTACTAAACTAAAAAAGATAAAATAAGTTAACTTCCTCAATATGTAATTATGTACAAAATGTTTAATTTATTTTGATCTCTTTAGAAGTATAAAAGAGAAAAACATTCAAGAATATTAAAGTCTTGTAATGTTTGCTAATATAAAAAGTGTTGTATTATCTTGCGTGGATGGTATCACGACAAATATATATATATGAAATATAAATTCACTAATGAAAAAAAGGAGATTTTAAAGTTTAAGTGCAGAACTCGTCACTTGCATGGTGCGCTCCCCACTGCATTCACACACTCCTTGCCGTTGCGAGCAATCACACATGGCCAGACGCCCTGTCTCAAAGTTTCTTCCAGACCCAGAGACCAGCAAGTGGAATTATTGCCATCTGTAAGGTGGTGACAGGATTTAAAGCTCAGTGTGCACTATTTTTTCCTTTGCTGGGGGACAACAGAGAATGCGTTTATGCCAGCCGTGCGACAACAAGGGGCTCTAGGTTGGCAAATAGCACTGTTCTTAGCCGCAAGAATTTGTTGCACAATGGTTTTGTTTTGGGGTTTTTTAAGCATTTTTATTAGTGTCACCTTTTTTGTTTCCTTGGTATGAAAAGAATGCTATTCTGTGGTCATTTGCACCCAGTTTTATTGATCTGCCTTCAGATGGCCCTACGTGAGTGGACTGAATGTCCAGGGAGAAGACTCACCTAGGTGACGTCTTCTGGTCTGAAGACGCAGTCAACTCTGTGAACCTCTGTCTCTGGAGTTCCTGAGCTGGGCCCCGAGCAGACCCCAACCCAACCCCTGGGGCTCCTAGCAGAGTTGTGGCTTAAGCAAGGGTGGCCCCCGCTGAGTCCCCCTGCTGCGTGTGGATGGATCGCTTCCCCGGTTTCTGTGGCTGCCTCACACACCTTTTGATCTGCACAGCTCATCTGTGCATTTCTGAATTGAATTGGCCTGTCTGTCCAACCCAGAAGGCGCTCTCAGCCGTGTAAGCCGGATTGATTTTATAATTGTCTGGTACGGTCCTGCAGTGGCTCTCGGTACTAGATATGCATGACTAAGATTGTTGCTGAGCAAAATTGAGATTCTTTCTTTCTTATATTGTAGGCAGTGGCCTTGCCTTTGTCACCATGCAGCCATCAGTAAGCACTTTGCTGAAAGAGTTTTGTTTGACTTCTGAGATCCAAGGCTGATTGTTTTTAAAAAAAATTTAAATGGCACATTTTTGAAAATTTGTCAGCTTATATGGAACTTCCTTCCATCTCTGCAAACCATTTAATTTTTAAAATATTGTTTGCTCGTTGCTGTGTACGAGTATTTCCATACATGATTCAGACACACATTCCTACAGTCTTCTGCTTCCTACGAGGGAAAACCCCACCACAGTCAGACAAAAAGACATTTTTAACATGCACACGCACCTTGCTTAGAGGAAGTAGGTTGTAGGTTTCAGATCAGATCCTCTGAATGAAACAATTGCAGCGTGTGGGAAAACCTGAGGTTCAGGTGATGTCGGGAAGCAAAACAAATTTTAGACGTCACTTCAGATATAATTTTGACTTTCACCATATCAACTTTACATCCAAGGAAGGCAAACACTGCAGTACAGTTGTGAAAGCAGTTAACAGGTCTCTTCTGCATCCTGTCTTCTCTGACATTAAGAATTTAGGTTCAAAAGAGTTGGTGGACTGGGATCGAAGTTTGGTTGTGCAAGAAAAAAAAAAGACACAAGTACCACCTGTTTCAGCAATAAAGAAGGGTCGTTCTGTATTAGAAATTGTACTGTAGATAAATCATTCATGAGAATGTAAAAAAAAAAAATGTTTGTCTTGTGACCTTGTGCTTTTGAAGTCAGCCAAAACCGTGTAATCAACTTGCACAAAAAGAGGGTACACAGTGACCATTGAAACACAGACCTAATCAAACAGGAGCAGATTCCTCATGGTGCTTGTTTATTATATATATTTAATCCTGCTTGACACTTTACCCAAGGGAAAACAGTCCCTTTTATCAGTTGAATGTTAGCAGCGTTATTTCAGAGTGTGGTGACTGGTTAGAGAGATCCATGTACTCAACCAATCACAGTTTCAAACAAAATTTTTATGTGCAAAGGACAGCAACCTCTTGTATGTTCAACCACCAGTACGCTTTGTACATCTGTGATAACGTCTGTTTTATATTCAAATGAACAAATAAAAGCTTTTATTTTTGTTGCTCTGAAATAGCCGTTTCTTAATTGGTACCCTGGAGAAGTGTCTGGGACAGACGGCTTCCATCCATCCAAGGAAGGAGGTGACTCCTACAGGGAAGTGGATCTGACTGTTTACGTGCTCTGCCGCATTGACTCAGTACAGATAATTGCACTTTGAACGATGTTTAAATTTTGATGTGGGCATTTCTTGCTCAAAACAATTCCTATGGCAACGAATGTTTTGTGAAATGTTTTTTTAATTCTTTCAAATATATCTGAATATATTTGTTCACATTTTGCTGCAAGTGTACGGATTATTGGTAATTTTGGGGGATGCACGAGTCCTGTGTGCAGATAACTTCTATCACTGATCACAGGGGACCTTCGAAGGGCAGGAGGCAGCACCTGTTGGCTACCCTAACCCAAATTGCCTTTAATCATCTGACAACCAAAGGCCATATTTTGCCCAAGATTTGAGAATTCTTACGGCTTTTTCTTTTGAAAAGCAGTGGGTGGTTAACTGACCTTCAGCCTAGTGATTCTAAACAGATCCCTGTATCACACGAATGTCAGCAGTAGAATCTGCACACAGCCCGCCAGGCTCAGTCTAAGCACCTGTGTTTGTAGTGGAGCTCCACTCACCCCTGCCCAACTTCTGTCCAGGACAGTGCCATGCTGACCGGGGGTGACACCTTGGGATGCCTGAGTGAAAGCTACCTGGCTGCATCAGGTTAAACAGAAATACGGTGAAGAGAGGAAGGTCCTTCCGGTCCCCCTGCTGCTCAGAGAGCGGCCCTAATAACAACAGGTCAAATGCAGTCAAGTAACTAAGAGAACTGCACCCACAGAGCCCCCCTGTAGACTCCGTGCACGCACACAGCTGTGCATGTGTGAGCGTGTGCATCCATGCTCCTGTGTGTCAACATAGCCTTTGCTACCACGAAGTCGTGTTCCACATCCTCTGTGGCCTGTAGCACAAGGCTGCATCCTTAAGAGACACTCAGTAGCCATTTGGTTGGCTGACTGAATGTCTTTCTGTCCTAGGAATCCCCTGCAACATCTCAGTGTGCTGAGATCGGATGGTCCGTCAACCCGCCCAGAAGCAAGGCAGCTGCTTCTCTGGAAAGAAGTTTCTGGACAAAAGGAGGCGTTCTCTGGCTGCCACATTGACCATGACACTCTTTTGTACCTTTAGGTAGAGCTCACAGGTCCTGATCTTTCTGATGTACTAAACATTTTGTTCTCTCCTCCTGCACAAAATCGTGGTGGGGTCATGTATGACCTCTCCCATAGTCCCAGGGTTGTCTTTGCCGTGTAAGAACCTCAGCTGGTGTCACTGTCATCATTCCCTGGGCAAAGTGGGTCCCAGGCACATCCAGCTGTGTCTGGTGGAGCTGCTCATTTGTTGCCTCACAGTGTTTTGGAAGTTCTGGGGTTTGAACTCGGGGCCTTGCACTTACTAGGCAGGCACTGTACCCACTTGAACTACATGCCCCAGCTCTTTTCTTTGCTTTATTTGTCTGGAGTTTTTGCCCATGGCTGGCCTCAGACCATGATCCCCCAACTCTGCCTCCAGTGTAGTTGGGATCACAGGCAGGTGTGCACCACCTTGCTGACTTGTTTTTTAGATGGAGTCTCACTAACCTTTGCCTGGGCTGGCCTGGAGCCAGGGTCCCATTTCTCCCTCCCAAATATCTGGGATTACAGGTTGGCACAACTAAGGTTGATTCTGTGAACTATGTAACTGGGTGAGACAAATGCCATGAGGCCTCAGCAATGCTAAGGTGGCCTGTCATTTTGCCTCTATGACATCTTTGGTAGTCAGCTATGCCAGCTCACCTGTGCTGGGATCACAGAGATTCTTGACCCAGAAGGGCTCAGGAAAGAAATGAACAGACGAGACACAAATCAAGAGGACCAGAAGGCTGATAATCAACTGGCAAATTTTTTATTTTTGCATCAGGTTTATAAGCAGTGCAAAGCAGGAAGTTATACAATGCAAGGAGAATTCCTATGCCTGGGAAACAATGCCCTCTACCTGAAAAACAACGTTCTTGCTCCAACCTCCCTGGTTTCATAAATGAAACCCGGACCTTCCTAGTTTCGTGTAGTTTCACATACACAAAACCTGGGCCTGATTGCCAAGGACATGCCACCCAGTTCCTAGTCTTTCATAAACAAATACCTTCAGGTTAATGTTTCTTTTCTCCAGACAAAGAGAGCCACCCTATGTTCCCTCAGAACCCCAGTGAGAGACATGGTGCACTTGCAGTCTCCAAACTTGTCAGGATCCTGCTAAGCCGCAATGACCTTGTCAGATTTTGGCTCATGGCTCCCAACATCTCCTGCTTTCTTGTATTTTAAGTGGACATGGTGGAGTTCCACTCTGAGCCGGAAGATCTGGGACATTCCAAATCTGCAGAAGACTGGGAACAAGCAGAACACAATGAGCAAAAGAATAATGATCCCATCAATATCCAGAAAGAGTGTCTTAAAATGTTTGTTAAAGGGATTAAAACCTTGTGATGCATTTAGCACTTTTTTGCTACTTCCCCTGGGTGGATGATGTGCAGTTTGCTCTTTTGGATATCCAAGATTTCTTTATGCAAAGCCATCAAGTCTATACTTAGATCTGCATGGGACCAAACTCCCTGTAGATGATGCTTGATGTGCTCCCAATCCCAATGAGAGTCACTGTGAGGTTTGGAGGTTACACATACCCATTGGAAAGATGCATGACACCTAGTGATGCCCAAGCTTTTAGGGCCTGCACCTCATTGCCAATCATTGTGACTACTGATTCCAGCACATCAAGTTGGGTTTTTATTTTACTGTTAATGTTTTCTTGTATATTTAAGACCAAAGAGGTATTTTTGGCTGAAGTGTTAACATAATGCACTGTCTGGATGCCTTGCATTAGCGCTGCTGTGGAGACCACAGCAGAAGCGATCAACATCACTAGTGCCAATACCCCTGCCGTAATGAGTCCAACTACCCTCTTTTTTTCTAATCAATGCCTTTTCAATCTCCAACAGGGCTTGCATCCCAGGGTTGTCATAATAAGTGTCATTTGCGTGTGCTGGCAACATCACAAAAGCAGGTTGCTTTACTATCAGTATCCTCCTTTGATCAAAGGGTTGAAAATTATTAATACAGTTTGTCAGAATGCGATGCTCACAGTGAATCTCAAACTAAGGTTCACTCCCAGTTGTACGTTTCATAATATCAACATCACCAATCAACAGAAGATAAGGTGAGGAGATAACAAGCAGTAATGTTATGGTGAATTTCTACATGGTTACAAGTTGATAGCACTTTGACCTGACCCGTGCAGCAGCAAGGCACCAAATGCCCTGCTGCATAGTACCCACAGAAGTAACCAGAATGTGTGAGAACAACCTGCAGGGTCACCCAATCCCCTTCTTTAGAGGAGATAGGGTGCCTAGGTGACCAATCCCACAAGTAATTATTTGTCCCAAAACCATGTATGACCAGAATTGGGTAGGCACAATCCAGCCAAGGAGGAATGGCTCCAAAAAATTTCTCCTCAAAATCAGGACAAAGAGGAAGTGTCCTGGGGGTCCTCGCTGATCAGTGGGATGGCAGCCTGGAAACCCCACTTTCACAATAGTATACAAATGTTTTTGGCTAGTAGAATTACCCAATGATCCTACAGCACTAGAGATCTGCAAGGTCAGTTGCACATTTGAGCAGGAAATGCCACCCCTCCTAGATAAGCACAAGGGTGGAGAGTGAGACCGGGCTGAATAATTTAAAAAGGCCCACTGATGGAGGATGTGACTAGAGTCTGAGCCCCCCAAGAGGGTAATGTTGTTGGTAGAAATCTTGATTCCGGTGTCATTCCAAGATGCATGAACGATAGGGGACATATGCCCAGTAAGTCTCTCCCGAAGTTCCACGCACCTGACAGCAAAGTATAGCTACCCTAGCCAGCAACAAGGCCTCAGGTGTCAACGATTGGGAGGTGCCACAGAGCAACTCCTCTCCCTCGGCTGCCAGCCGCTTGATTTGGCCCCAAGAGGGCAAAGGAGAAGCGCGGGTGTTACGCGCTTTCTTCTTCACTGGCTGTGCAGGAGGCTCCTGATCTGTTCCCACCCTCTTGATTCCCTGCTCCATCTCACTCACCACTCTGGGCTCCTTGTCGGTGTTCACGCTGCTGCACCAGCCTTTCTGGAATCCAACGAGGAGAGTCAGCATCCCTGGGAAAAGTGCAAAGAAAACCTCTTCCCCACATCAAAACAGGATCAGGACCCAGTCACTGCCCTAAGGGATCCCTCCACATCACCAAGGGATGCTGCTGCTCCGAGAGGGCCCCAAACCATTCTGCGGCAGACTTTTCCTGCTTATCAACATTCAAAACTATAAAACAAAAAAAGCATGGTTAAGCCTATCAGCAGGGGCAGTATAGTCTATTCCCCCTTTCTGTTTGGACAAAATTGAGCCTTCAACGTTTGGTGTGCCCGTCAACAATTCTTCGACGCTGATGGTTATTAGGGATCCCTGTTTTAAGGCTAATTCCAAAGTGCAAACAAAACTGAAAAAAGGCTTTAGAGGTACAGGCTGGAGCATTATCTGCCTTGACACATCGTGGAATTCCTAGAGTAGAAAAGCCATGGAAGCAGTGGGCAATGACGTCTTTTGTCGCTTCCCCAGTAGGAGCAGTAGTGAAATGAAATGAGAGACGGTGTCATAGTAACATGTAGAAACCGAGATCCGCCAAACTCGGAAATATGGGTCACATCCATCTGCCATAAGTGACCGGGTAAAAGACCTTGAGGGTCGATGCCAAAAGTAGGAGCAGAGAAGTGCTGTGGGCAGGAAGTGTACGTGCGGACAATTTGGCAGGCCTGCTCCCTGGAAATGTGAAACGGTTTCCTTAGGGCATCAGCGTTCTGATGACGAAGAACGTGGGGTTTCTGGGCCTGTTGCAAAAAGAAAAGTTGTTGAGTAGCAGCATCCGCGACAGTGTTGCCTTGAGCCAATGGTCCAGGAAGGCAGGTGTGAGCTCAAGGGTGTCCCACAAAGCAGGGAGCAGACCTCGATGAATTACACCCTGCAATTGTAAAAGTAAGTGAAACAATTCTTCATCAGCTGTGTGAGCAATCAGTGCTGTCTCGACTGTATGTAGAGCCTGGTGAGGGTAAGAGCTATCTGTGTACAGGTTGAAGGCCTGGTTGGTCAGTAAAGAAAGGCAAGAAGGA